CAACAAGGGAGGTTATCCTAGAGGTGCAAGTGTGCGAAGTGATTTGTTTTCAATTATTTTTATCTTGAAATTCGGGTTAGCTAACGCGTCATTATTAGTATTTCCATATAAGACCTAATTACTAACCGTATTAGTAAAATAGTAAAGCAGTAAATGTGCAGAAAGGAAAAAGATGGAAAGTAAACCTAAGACTATTACAATGCTTTTGGAGAGGTACATAAATAATAAAAATGCGGAAAATAAACCCTAATTACTATTACAAACAAGGAAGAAATTACAATAATCAGATAAAGTGCGAGAGTAATGAACTACGCAAAATGTAAAATAGGAAAAAAAGAAAGCGAAAGGGTTTTCGGTGATCTTTTGATGAAAAAAGGTTTTAATGATGATTAACCCTAAAAACCTAATTAATTTTAATAAAAAGTGAATTAATTAAATTAAAAAACCTAAAACCCTAAACTGATTAATTAAATAAAAATTATTAATTAAATTAAAACCTAAAAAACTAATTTGATTAGGGTTTGTAAAAAGTTTTGAAAAAAATTAGTTTTAAAAGGTTTTGTTTGTGAATTTAGGGTTTATAAATGCAAAATTGAGGAAAATATGAAGAAAAATAAAATTTTAAAAGAATACTGTTAGGGGTTGGTGTTAAACCCACGTCCTTTGCTCTTCCACCAAGAACTTCACCACTAGGCCAGGCACGCCCTGGTGTCAAGGGATGAGATTCAACCCTGCAAAACAAGGATCGAACCCGTGCCGTTGCATAGTAAAGCCTTATCGCATGCATTTTAACCACTGTGGTGGTGACACATCCATTGTCTAAAACAAAACAAAATTTATATAATATCAAAAACATTACATGAACCAGAGAGGCATCGGAGCCCTAGCTTCGGTCGTCTTCTTCGGTAGCTTCCTTTTATGTTCCTGCGAAACAACAAATATTAGCAATCCAGGGTAACCCTACCCCCTAAATCAAGGTCTGTGAATTCAATAGAATGATTAGTTTAGGCTAAATCATATTGTAACAAGAGATATGGCCATAATACATGGAATCGGTGCAATCATAGTGATGCATGATTTTGGTACCATGGGACGCCTGCAATGGTCTAGTCCTGCACTAATGAACATCATAAACACATCAATAATGTTAGCTTCAAGCAAAACAACACGAAAATTAAAATATGAATTTATGAAATAATAATATGATGATGCATGCAGGGGTGTTTCGAGCCCTTTGGATCGTTGCAAACGATCCAACCTTACCCTATGATCTTCTTGGAAGTGATTAGAATAGGGTTTTGACCTTGAGGGAGGCTTCATACTAGGGTTTCGATTTTCCCTAATTATTGATATTATTTGAATTTTGGAAGGGTGTTCTTGCACAAGGATTTCTTGGTTGTCTCTTGTATGACTTACTGAGAATATATAGCTTGAATTTAGGTCAAATGTCGGGCTTGGACTTGTATGAAAAAGCCTTGTCTTATTTTATTTTATTTAAACTTTTTAAAATAATAAAAATAAAAAATAAATAAATAAGAACCAAAGGTGGTTCATGAGTAAGATCTAAGGTGTATATGAGGTGTAGAACATGTTTGGTCTTTGAAACAATAGCCCAATAGCCCAAAATTCCAAGTTTAGTCACTTTAGGTTTTATGCATTTGCTCAAAATTTCCAACCTTGTATTGGTCCTAACTCTCTTAATTTTTGTCATTTGAAAGTGATCGTGGACTTTTTGGAAAGATCAAGATATTCTCTACAATCCCTCTTTTTATCATTTTTGCATTTGAAGAATTTATCTTGATGTAAGTTGCCTTGACAAAAAGTGTCTTCTTGTTGACTTTTGAAATGAGCTATAATGTTTTGGCCCATATCTCTCAAATGAAGCATTTTGGACTTGAGCTTAGAGATACAAAGTTGTAGAGAATTTAATTTCCTTCAAAATGAGCTTTGGATAAGGAAAATATGATGAAGCATGTGAAAGTTATGCTTGGTCAAAGTTCAGCTGACTTCTTCTTAAGAAAACCCTAATTTGGCAACTTTTGACTTTTGATGATTTGAGAGTTTTCCTTGATGAATCATGATCAACCCTTGATAAAATGATGAATATGACTTCTAAATCTTGATGTTGACCAAAAATATTGAAGTTTGTCTGTATGTTGACCACGGTTGACTTTTTATCCAATACAATTAATTTCCAGTCATTTGAGCCATTGATTGAGCAAACTTGTCATGCAAGGCATGAACCTTAGTATGAGCATTTTTGGAGACATATAAGAGACCATGAAATTCACTTGAGACCTTAGAAACTCAATCTTCCTTGCGAAACACAAAACCCTAGTTGTAGGTCAATTGCTTAGGAGGAGAATTTGTCTGATCAATTCTTGAGTACCCTTGAGCATTTGAGAACCCTAGGAGAATGTCTTAAGTAAAAAAGGGAGGGAAAATTTTGGGGTACAACAACCCTCTTTTACATTCTGATTGCTGGTACTTTTTTACACCAGTTTATAGGGACTAGGCAATGGCCGTGCGCATGGTTATGAAGGATTTGGAGTGTTCTGAGGTGGAGGTGCTGAAGGAGTTTGGTGAGACTCGGGGGTTTCACCTTCGGGTGTCTTGGCTGAGGAGTTTATATAAAGAGCTTGTGGATGCAAAGAGGTATGAGGCTGCCGCTAGGGTGTACATGCTACATCTGGTGGCATGTACTCTATTTGAGGATAAGTCTGGAGTTTATGTTGATGTTTGATACTTGTCTCTCTTCAATGCACTTGACACTCCATGTTGGGCTTGGGGAGTGGCAGCCTTGACCATGTTGTACTCGACACTTGACATTGCTTCTCGTCTTGAGACCAGACAACTTATTGCAGGTATACTATAATTTATTTGATGGTTTTTATTAATTATTTGAGTGTATTTATATGATGATTTTTATTTATGCAGTGTTGGATATACGAGCACTTCTCTCACATCTATGAGCAGAACATCCAGCGTATCACGGCACCTGAGCCATGTACCAGGAGATGGAAGGCCAAGCAGGCCATTTCAGGAGGTTTGATAGAGTACCAGAGGAGGCTTGATGCTCTGACCTTGGATGATATTGTCTGACACCCTATACGTCTCATCTCCCCTATTATCTATTTGAGGTATCTACTTTATATTCAGGACATATTATATGGGAGAGCCATGTGGCTAGACACTTGCCTGAGAGGTGTCTACGCCAGTATGATTTTGTACAGAGCATCCATCATCCAGTTCCAGAGTCTCCAGCTGGTGGTATTGATAGATGGTTTCAGAGTCACATCCCCACCTCCCCCGTGAGATAATGGATACAATCATCGAGGTTCAGCATCCAGGGCAGTGTGACGATGGATACCTGAAGTGGTTTCATAGTGTGTCACACCCTCAGGTCATACCACTGTTTGAAGCATCTGATGTTCCAAGACCTTCTAGTGCTAGCCCATCTACTGAGCCACCACCTCCACCACCTGTAGGAGATCAGGACAGCCGACTCCATTTTCATGCAGTTCATACCGACAGTCTCATGGGTTTGGTAAACCCAGATGGTGAGATCTATAGAGCTTTAGCTAGGTTAGCGGACGTAGCCTGTGGAGGGCCTGTGTAGATTTATTTTATTTTGGTTGTATAATATGTATATTTTGTGACAAATAAACATCTTATTTGTTGCATAATTTTTTGGTGAAACCCTAGAACAGTACAACAAACATAAAAAGTACAACAAACATAAACCAAAAACAACTAAACAAGAAAATCTAGGCACTTTCGGATGATTCTGGATGTTTCATACACTTCATTATATCATCGACGGATCATCAGATCTGCGCATCCAACTCGATCGAACCTTTAGTTATCCTATGGAGAATTGATTTCCACATGACCTTCACATCTTCATCATTCTTCAACTTGATTAGGTTGTATTTCACTCTTCCATTTGTATCAATCTAATCCTCCCGAAACTCTACCTTTGTCACCCTTCTGTTATCGGAATCATGCAGCAAATTATTTAACGTTTCTTTCAAGGTGGCAAAGGATTCAGAGCCATCTAGAAGCTTGAACTCAACAGGAGGGTTGTTGTCGTTGTAATACACTTCTGCCTTAATCAAAAATTGAGGTAGAGACATTTTTTTAGATGTATTTTCTCTATAACAAATGCCCTTATTTATATAAATGATGATGCATTCTAGACCATACAAATCTGTCGGTGCAATCAAAACCATCCAAATATATCGGTAAAATCTCATCCGTTCAAAAAACCATGTTTTTAATACTACCAGAAATTTCAATATAATTGAAATTTATGATATACCGAAAATTTCGTAGGAGGGTACCGGAAATTTGGATGGTACCGGAAATTTCAATCCTTCTACCATAAATTTCATCCGAAAATTGTGTTCAACTCAACCAAAGAAAAAAGTAGAATAAAAAAAATTGAGAAGTGTCATGTATAATTTTAGAGGTGACATGTTAAATTCTCAAGCAAAACTATATTTATGCGAGAAATTACACTAACTTCTCCTAAGATATGTTAAAATGAAAACAACACTTTTTTTTAAAAATAAACTAACATCCATTAAATTGAAATATACTAATGGAATTTTTAGTGAGTCAAAAAACCATAGGAAAATGTCATCTTTACCGACAGTAGTTTACTTGTCAATACAAACTTTTGTTAAATCTATGTAAGTTTATGGAATATTAGTGCATATTTTTAAAATTAAAGAAATATTGATGTCATTTTAACGAACTTCAAAGAAGGTGAATGTAATTTCTTCATTTTTATATTTATGTAATGTCTAAGAGTCGAATGAGTGTTTCGATTAAACAAATACTAAAGGATCAAAATTACACATAATTCAAACTAAGTCTAAAAGTATAATAAGGCTTTACAATCATCACAATGCTTTCTAAGATTGCAAATATCCTTTCATTAGATCCAACACATCTTTAAAGATACACCTACAGTAATGCTTGTTGCAAACAAGAGATTAACACCTAAATGCCACAAAAGCCTTTTATTATAAAATCATTATGGAGAGAAAAATTCTTAATATTATTTCTCTTGGATACTCTCTAAATATAATGGTTTATTGAGCTACAATACCATACACCAACCATAGAAAATTTAAATTCCAACCTTGTAAATGACCTGATCAAACAGCTTCAACTACAACAATTATCTCGTATTTTTCTACAAATACTAAAAAATCATTTGAAGCATGTGACTAGAAATTGCATTTATCTAAGAGAATGACTTTCTTTGAAAAAAGGCGAACAATGGCAAGAAGAGTAAGCAAAATCAAAGAGGTCGCAATGATAATGATAATGGGTGTTATACTACTGCTACAAATGATGATCTTGTTATTCTTCGCAACCACGAGTCAGTTAATATTGTAATGATGAGAGCATGTGAGTAATTGATAGCTATGTTACATTATATGTTACACCAACGAAGGAGTTCTTCTCCTTTTATACTTCAGGTGACTTCGAAGTATTGAAGAAGGATAATGGTGGTGTATCTAAGATAATTGGTATTTGCGATGTTTGGCCGCAAACCAAAATAGGAATGTAGTTGTTGCTTGAAGGAGTTAAGCATGTTTCAAATGTTCACTTTTATTTGATCTTTATGCATATGTTTGATGATGATGGTTTTGATAATCATTTACTTCTAAAAAGTGGAAACTTATCAAGAACAGTGAGGTTCCAAAAAAAATTTGGTTTAGAAATAATACCAGCTAGTAGCTACGGTCAAATTTTGGTTTTTGATTTAAGACGTTTATGGATGTTCCAAAAATTGAAATATTCAAGTTCTATGCAAAGTCAAAGAGTGTATCTTCATTGCTTATGGCCAAGTTGAATTTGGATCCAGGTTTTATGATCCTATAAGTAAAAAACTTATCAAGAGTTGTGATGTAGTGTTCATGGAACACCAAATTATTGAAGACATTAATTTGGTATGCTTCTGAATCATCTCAATCCCAACTTAAGAGGTCTAATAGGTTGAGAAAACCTTCTACAAATTATGATTCTAATGACTTTGAATGATGAAGGGGGACCTAGATATTTTTGAGAGGCCATGGAGAGTGAAGAAAATTAAAAGTGTTTTGATGTAATGAAAGATGAGATGAAATATTTGCATGATAATCACTATTATAATTTGATGAAGTTGTCAAAAGGAAAAAAAGCTTTAGAAAATAGGTGTATCTATAGAATGAAACATGAATGTAACTCTAAATCTTAGAAGCATTATAGTTAGATTAGTGGTGAAATGTTTCTCTTAGAGAAAGGATGTCGATTTTAATTAGATTTTCTCACATATGGTAAAAGTGTCATTAACTAGAATCATTTTAAGTTTGGAAGCTACAATTGACATAGAGGTAAAGCAAAAGAATATGAAAACAATTAAAACCTTCATTCTTGGTGATTTAGATGAAGCAATTTATATGAAATAACATAATAGTTTTCCCTATTTGAGGCAATGAAGACTAATGTGTAGACTTAGAAAAAGTCTATATGGTTTGAAGAAAACTCTAAGATAGTGGTAGATGAAGATTGAGTCTTTTATGTCTAACCAAGGATACATGAAGACTATTTTTGATCTTTGTGTCTTCCTCAAAATATTTTGATACTTATTTCATTAGCCTATTATTGTATGTTGATAACATACTTATTGATGGTGAAAATATTTTTTCGGATTGATAGGTTAAAGAAAAATTTGGGTGAATCTTTTGCTATGAAAAATATGAGAGTTGCTAAATAGATTCTTTGGTATAAGAATCATGCGTGACAAAAAGAAGAAGAAAATTTAAATATCACAATAGAACATTACACTTAAAGAGTGTTGCAGAGATTTCAGATGAAAAACTCTAAGGCGATAAGCACATCTCTTGCCGCTCATTTTAATTTGAGATCTAAACAAAGTCGTTCTTATCAAGACGAGAAAATGAATATGAAGTGAGATTCTTATACGTCTATTATGGGTACATGTTGTTGGTACATTTAGTAGATTTTTGTCAAATATTTGTAGAGAATATTGAAATGCTATAATTAAAAGGATTTTGAGGTATATTTTTAGTAGTACTTGTACGAGAGTTTGTTTTGGAGGTGACAAACCTATTTTGATGAGGTACTAAGATTCAAAAATAAGGGTAGAGACATTGGTAAGTGAAATAAAATAGCAAGTTACTTGATGAAATTTGCAGGTGGAGTTATGGCTTGGCAATCTAGGTTGCAAATGTTTGTAGTGTTGTGTACTACAAAGGTTGAGTTTATTGTCATTATTTAAAACAGTACTACATAAACAAACAAACAAAAAACAGCAAGAGCAACTTGTAAGAAAACCAATGATATATAAAATTATAAACAGATCCAATATGAGACACCCAAATTGAGCACAAAGAAATTAATAAATAAAATATAAAAAAGTACATGACACAAACCTTGAACTTGCAAATTCATAAAGTCTTCCTCTTGGTGAGAAAACAATAAGAGCAATTTCAGCATCACACAAAACTGATAACTCAAAAGCTTTCTTCATCAAACCATTTCTTCTCTTTGAAAATGTTACTTGTCTACTTGTTGCGTTCTCTATACGCTTCATTTCTGTCTTTCCTCTCACCATCTTTGCTGAATTCACAACAACAAATAAAAAGGATATGAAAATATTAACATTCAAGATCTAGACTAGAAAGTAATAGGAGACGGTGTCTCTCTAAGAAATGAGAAGTTTATGAAAATTTTAAGGAAAAAAAAACCAAAAAAAAAGGTTGTATTATGAAGTTTTCATCGAAAAAAGTGAGAAAATTTGTCAAGGTATTTTGATGAGAAAATTAAATGGCGTGAAATAGCTTCCTAAGATAAGGGTCTATTATAAACACCTAGCTTAAAGATTTATATCTCATATCAAAGAAGTCATTTTTCTGAACATACCAGAGAAAAAGAAAGAAAAAAAAAAAGCAACTTCAAGAGGAAACAGATTTGCACCAAAATAGAGAAAATATTTTGAAGCAAGAAATGGATAGGAATAAAGGGTTGTGTCTAGAAAAAAAAATAATGGTAAAAAATAGTAAGAGCTATAGTATATCTTTGAATCAAGCTCTACAATTGCCCCAAAAGAGAAATTTCTATATTAAAGTGTATGGAGTTTTGAAGTGATACTGCCAAATTTTCTATGAAAGGAAAAGGAAAATAAGTGTGTAAAGAATAGACATATTTAGGTTTTTTTAATGCAAATATTATTCTTTGGTGAATAAAGGACAGATATAGGTAGTAGTATTAATGAATTCATGAAATATCTTTAGTAAAAAGTTATCTTTCTTGCTTTGCCAACTCATCTCCCCATGGTCATTTTTACTTTTGCAAAGACGTACAAGAAATAAGATTCCGATGTGCTTTTGGTGCTAACCCCACAAATGCTGAAAAGTAAAAGAAATTTGAAATTATAGCTCACACATACGGGAGTATATATAGATGAAATATTATATATTTCTTGGCTAGCGGCATATAGGTTGCAAAACGATTGTGATATGTTGAGTTGGTCTGCGCATCCGTTAAAAAATGGAGAGTTGAGTTGAAATGTTAGACCCGTTGTCCATTAAAGTCTGTTTTGTTAAAGACCGTCGTCCGTCAAAATCCGTCATATCAAAATCCACCACCTTTTAAAGTTCATCGAGCCTATTCATTCAGCTTGTCTCATATTAAGTTCGTCATTTTTTAATTAATTATAATAAATTCAATTCTTGATGGTTTTATTTTATACATTTACTTGTGAATATATGTAAAAAAATTTAAGTAAGTTTTGTTATAAAGATACTTTATAAAAAATTATTCTAAAAAATAAGTGAAAAATTTAATTGAAATATAAAAAAAAAATTTTAATATATTAAAAAAATGAAAAACAAAATAAAATAAAAAAGAAAGTGTGCAAGTCCGTTGTTCGTCAACCCGTCACCTTGACGGAACGAACTAGATTTTTATATCTATTTTTATTTAGCAGGTAAACTCGCCACACTCTTTTTTTAATGGATTTAAGACAGAATAAGACGGAGCAGACGACTCATTTTACCATCCTTAATTTAACGTGTGTTTGGTTCTGCGATAACAATAATAAATTTTAAATGAATCAATTATGTAAAATAGAATTAAGTAAATTTCAATTTATAAAATAAAGTGAACAATAAATTTTAATATCAACCCCATGTGCTTCAAATTTATCAAATTAATTTTAAAAATCAAAATCAATTTTACTAAAAAAAAACAGTCAAAAATTCAAAATCAATTGTAAGTGCTTCAAATGTGAAACTAAATATACACTTAAATTTCACTCGTGAGAATGGATAATTAAACAATCCGTGACCTTTAAATACATGAAGACGACAAAATAAAAAAGGAAATATTAGATGATTTAGCATTCATTTGGATTCATGGTGAAGTATTGCTCAGACGCACGTCCACTAGGAGCTGAAATTTCTAACTTCAATTCTATAAATATATTAAAATCAATTCCGTTAAATTCATAAAATCAATTCTATAAAATTTAATTATATTAAAATGAATTATGTTCACTAATATGCACCAAAAAAACACAAGGAAATGGTACAATGTTAGAACACGTCACTGTGGTACGTACAGCAACTTACTTGATGTAACCAATAAGCACTAGTAAACGCAGCACCTTGTCATCAAGTAGTACTTTTCACTTTCTAGCTATATGTATTTCTTTACATTACTCAATTACTCCATTTGTTAATTATTAGTAGAAAATTACTAGAATCAGATTAATGTATCTGTAATCTTAAGCTATAAGCTATAAGCTATAAGCAGAGACAAGAGACATACGCAAAAATTTAGAATACTAGCACTATTATATATCTTTTTCAGAAACTTTCACAAAACTACTATCTATTTTCATTTTAAATACTAAATTACCATAATTTCTCTTATAAATTCTAAAATACCATTTCTTTTTTTTTATAAAAAATTTGAAGTGCATCTGCAATTAAATGGATGGATACTCCTATTTTATTAATTTATTTATTTTACTGTAGATTTTCTTGCGAAAACTATATTTTATAAATTTTTCTGTAGATTTTACCATAAATTCTAGTTTCTGCGGAACTTCCAACAAAATTATCTTTAAATAATAACAAAAAACTATTTTAAATAATCGTATTTTTAGTGAATACGTATGTAATTCTGCACAAGTGTGTTTGCGTAGGAAAATCCACTGATAAATTTTATAGAAAAATTCGAAGATAAGCAAATAAAAAAAAACATAGATTTGTCAAAAAATTGGACTGACGTGTTGTAACAAATTTTTTTTTTGGAAAGATTGTAGTTTGATAATAAGTTTGAAGAGTATGTTATTTTAGATAATAAATTAAAAAACAATGGTAGTTTGGTGAAAAATTCTCTTTTTCAACTATTTTTACGGTTAGAATTCTTAAGATATTGGAAATATCTATTTTGTTCTCTTAAAATGTGTGAAAAATAGATATTCAAAGACCTTATTTTTAAAAAGTTTCAATATTTTACAATTTTTTTTTCAATAAGCAATGATTATATCAAATTCCAAAAGATCGGTTACAAGCGGTACTCTTATCCGAAGCAAACAACAACACAAACTATCCTCTCCCCCTAAAACAGAGTAAATGCATAGTATTCCAAACATTAAAGTTACATATTTCAGATGACTTATAATCAATACTAAGCCATTTTCAAGAAACAAACATGATAACCATCTGTTGGGGTGAAAAAAAATACCCGAGCATATCGCACGCTCGAAATATATAATGAAACAGTCACTAATCTTTATTTCTTTCAAAAGGAACGGTAAAATATCAAATAAAACCGCGAAAGAAAAGAAATAGTTATCGCAACTAAGAGAGGATTCAGAAGTCGGTTATGCCTGGGAAAGGTACACTACTACAGAAAAGGCATTTAACAACGGTTGGGAAAGATATATAACCACGCGAGACCAGATGTTGTTATGTAGCGTGTGGTTGTATATGTGGTACTTACAATCACGGTCCAGTGACGGTCGTAGTAAACTGGAAAGTGTGCGTCTTATAACAACGGTTATTCCTATTAACCGTTGTGATATTTTATATGAATAAATGTCAAAAATTTCATACCATAATCAGCATTAAATCATTTTTGAATTGATATCAAAACTTGTATTATAAGTACCCAATTCCATTAAGTACATCAAAATTTGAACAACTCCAATTATGTTATCTTTCCAACTCCCAAGAGAAGAGATGATGTATAGAATTAAAGAAACAATAATGAGTAGCTTTGATTTTTAAACTTCCAAGAGAAGAAGATGAAGAATCTGAAGGAATAATATAAAAGCAGAAGAATCAAAACACAAAAACAACTTCATCCAAAGGAATCAATATGTGTTATCATGCTCAAGCTACCAACAATACTGAGAATCAAAATATTATTGTAGAGGGTGTTGTAGTGCAAAACCAGTCTCATAATCAACATGTTGTTGTAGACGGTGTTGTGGTGCAAAACCATCCTCAGATTCAAGATGCTGCTGTAGAGGTGTTTTGTTTAGACTAATGAGAACTCTCAGAGTCAGGAGAAGAAGAAGAAGAAGAAGAAGAAAAAGAAGAAGAAGAAGAAGAATAAGAAGAAGGTTGAGAAGGAAAATGATATTTTTCTCCGATTCCAATGATGATGATGATGCTGAATATGATTAGTCTAATTTTATCTCAGCGAAAGGATTTAGATTTGATTATAGTTTTTTATCATATAATGAAAGTTTTATGTAATGAAGTTTTAATCTTTATGCTTAACTCTCTTAAGGTTATCAACTTAAACATTCAACTTAAATTATCCGCTTAAACTACAAAATATATGAAAACACATAATTGTAATTGAAAATTCAACAGTTTGAGATGAACTTACTCAAAAGAAACTGTCTGTTAATAGCATTCCTGTCAAGTTCACCGTATATTCAACTATTACATTTCATAATAAAGTAAATATTAAATATAAATGAGATAAGAAAACATAACATTTTCAAATTTCAAACCGTATTTCAACTATTATATTTCATAACAAAGTAAATATTAATCATAAAGGAGATAACAAAATATAACATCTTCAAATTTCCATAAAATCTCTCTGACTTTAGTTTGTTCTTCAAATTCTTTTTCTTATTTTTTGAATCTTCATACATAATCTTCAATTTGTTCTTCCAACTCTGGCATCATATTACTCTCATCTTCATTTCCCAATTTTTCTCTCATGTCTTCATCACATATGAACAAATTACATGTTTCATCACTCCTCCAAAATGGACATCTCCAAAAAAGTCTTCCTTTATTTTATCCCTTCTTACATTGGTACCAAACCATACGGCTATTACAACCACTAAAATTTCCAGATCGAGATTTTACAGTGGAAGGAGACATAGTAACACCTTTGGATGAGTCTATTTTCTAATACGACATTGAAACGAATCTGGACAACAGCAATGAGCATGGGTGTTGTTGTCTTCTTCCCGACGATGTAGACGGTGTTGGTGTTAGGGTTGTTTCTTAAATCAATGGAAAAATGGGTACTTAGTGTTTAATATATATAAAGAAGTGCCAGTGTGTAACAACCGTTTTAAAAAAAAGTCGTAGTGATATCCCTATTTTTTTTAATTAAATATAAATATAATTGAAAAGGCATGTATTAACGTAAAAGGGATAAACTATTTGAGGGAGCCGGAGATCCAACGCAGGAAAACTGGAATGTATCACCACAATTAGGGAAATAACTGTAATTATAACCTTAAAATTTTCAATTAAAAAATAAATAAAAAATTTAGTGCATGAGTTTAGAAGTGTCACCACGGTTTTGGGGCGAACCATTGTGACTTTGGCGTTGTTGTATGCGCGTTTTGTATTAGTGGTATTAGCACCCCTTCACCTCTTCTATACTTAATGGTACCCATTTAGTTAGTTTAGTGTTTGAGTATTACCGTGATAGTTTGTGATCTTCTACTTATTATCCGAGAAAAAAGAAAAGAAATGGTTTTTATTTTTTAGTTTATTGGGTTTGTCAAGATTTTGAAATCTTGTGCCTATGTATTTCCATAGTGCAATAAGGAAAACAAAGCTCTGTAGTTCGGGATAGACAACCACATATTTGTTGGTTGATTTTAAAAGAATGATATGTTAGATATTTCAAGCATTTGAACCATGACTCGTTGCTCGCTCGTGGAGACGGAAGTCTTGTATTCATTTTGCATTGAAATGACTAAGAAACATTCCTTTGCAAAAAGGTTTTCGAAGTCGCGCAAGGGCAAAAAAAATTTTTTATGAGTTGAGTGGTTTTTAGGTGGAAACAAGGAGTCCTCAAACTGTATCCAAATACCTGATAAGGGAAGAGGTCTAAACCCCAAGAACCTTTCTTCATCCAAAAATATTATTATGAAAAGTGTGAGACGAATCAAGATTCGTTTACTTAATTGTGTTTTTTGTCAGGAAGACGAATACTCAAAAAGTCACCCCTACAACAATGTTTGCATATTCAGAAAGGGAATTGATCTAAATATAATGCACCTCTTACTTTATTCCTGTTTTATTATGAAAATGGTTTGAGAAAAGACTACTTGACATTGTATCGAGCGTTTGAGAATTGATTATGAAAGTGATTTGAGTGGATCATACGAGATTCTCGATGTTGGATCAAGCACTCGCATTTCAATTGATTTGGATTTTATTTAAGAAAAGACTCGACGTTAGATCGAGTTGTTTTTGGTCTTTTTATGAAAGTGTTGATTTTATCGTTTATCTTGACTAACAATTGAATAATAAGAAATACAAGTAAATAAATGAAAGCGGTTAAATTACTACACTTCATGGGAATGGGGGTACATTTTGTCGAATGTGGATGGAATAAAACAATTACAATACAAGCCCATTAACAATACATAAGTGAATAATATTTTAATCAATTAATTAAAAAATTGATTAAATCAATTAAGAAAGTTAATTAAAATTGATTAGCAAAACTAACCAACTTTAATTAACAAAATCAATTAGCCAAACAAATATTTAATGAATCGATTAAAGCTCATTGTAAGAAGGCCCAAGAGTAAGCCAAGAAACCGGAGGTAGACCGCAATCGAGTGCAACTAAAATTAGAGTTATATTAAGCAATCTTAAGGCAACTCATATAAGAATCACCCTATCTGAGATCGGACAATGAAATCTATGCGTTTAAACGATTTGAAAGATAATATTGAATTAAATTTTGAAATCTCAATGCAAAGCTATCAACAAAGCTATAAGCAAAGAAACAAAGACTAAAGATATCGAATATAAAGCTATATGTTAAGTAATCGTTAGGAATTTCATCTAGGAATCAACTTTATTTGAGACCGGCCAATGAAATCTATGCATCCTAAATGATTCAAAGAATAATATTGAATTAAACTTTAAAATCGTCACATAAGGCTAAGGCAATCCAATTCAAATTAGTCAGGATAACAAAGCAAATATTTGATCAAGCATCAAGAACATCAATAAGAGATAGAAATTCTAAAACATAAATCAAAGCAAAACATTGAAACAAAATAATATAACCTAATAAATAAATGATAAATTAATTAATCAAGTTAATTATTAATACTTAATAAGACTATTTAAAATATTAATTAGTCGAACTATGTAAAATTAATTAACAAGATTAATATTAATTAAAGAAATAAGAAAAACAAAGAAAATAAGAAGAAACAAAACTAATGAAATGGGCTAAAAAAACCAACACTACTACAAAACATGCATACAACAACGCCAAAGTCACCACGGTTCTTTCAAACACCGTGGGTAAATTTCTAAACTCAGGCGCTAACATTTTTTTTAATTAAAAATTGTTAGGATATAATAACGATTATCGAACTGATAGTGATGATATAATCAAGCTTTCATGTGTTCGAATCTCAGGCCTCTCAAATATTTTATTCATTTAACGTTAAGGCGCACCTTTTAATTTTTATTAATTTTTAAATAAAAATATAATAGCACTACGGTTGTTTAGTTCAATCGTTGTGATATATTTTGTTTTTTTTTATTTAAAATTTTTAAATGGCTAAACACTGGCGCTTCTTTATGAAATTTCATTATGCTAATAATATATCATTACGGTCTAGAGTTTTGATTGGGTGGTATCTTTATCAATATTTTACACTTCTAGCTAGCTTGCCTCTTCAGTTTCCATTTTTTCACTAAAAGAAACAAGATGACATAACCCTAACCTTCAATATTGTGAAATGATACACGATTTCAACCCTAACACCATTGTTCCTCATTTTTTGTTTAATACTCTGATATTGTCACTCTTTAATGGTCATTTTCATCATTATGGAGCAAGGGGATGCTGAGCAACAAGCTCCTTTTGAAAATATGGCGAGCACATCCACAAGAACCAGAAGAAGACGCGAAAGAGTACCCAGCCTCAAATGATGACATTATGGCTGCCATCATGCAACAAGATGAGAGGGTGCAAGTTAAGAAAAACAATCAAAATGCAATGATGTAACTTATGCTAATTATGTAAACTCAGCATCAAGAATATGACGAAAGGAATGAGCGTTGGACTGTAAGAATGACCGAGGAAATGGCAGCCTTAACTCTATGCATGGATGGTTTTGAAGAATATATGTACCACATGGGTATGTCTCATCCTCCGGATGGATGTGATGGATGTGGACAAGCACGAGGGCGAGGAAGAGGACGTGACAATATGCAAGAGTAGTTCAAATCTGCTTCTCTTCCCGTTTCCTCTTTGCTTTTAAGCATTGGGACACTGCTTGTTTCAAGCTTAGGGGAGTTAGTTAGTTAGGAAACACTTTATTGCTTTCTAAGTAGATTTTTCATTCCCGCTTGTATTTTCTGTAATTCAAACATCTATGTACTTTCGAGTTCTATTATGCAAACTTTTCTGCTATTATCTAATTTCCCCACTTTCTTGAGCCATAACAAAAATTTTGTTCGTTACTTGCATAACTTGACGCATTCAAAGAGTATATAGGTTGCTCACTTTTAAGATATATGAGAAACCTTGAGTAAAATAGAAGCACGATGGATACCGTCGTAACACTCTAAATCCCTAAATTACACTAACCGAGTTGCTAATGAAATATGTTGAGTTCATCTTCATCGACAAATGCTTGGACGCATTTACAACACTAAAAAGACATTAATTTCAACACCTATTATGCAACCTCCTGATTGGAACGAGCCATTTGAGATAATGTGTGATGCTAGTGACTACACTGTAGGAGCGGTTCTAGGACAGAGAAAGGATAAAAATCTTCATGCAATCTACTACGCAAGTAGAACCCTAGATCCTGCACAGACAAATTACGCCACCACAGAAAAAGAACGGTTAGTTGTTGTGTTTTCTTTAGATAAATTCGATTCTTACTTAGTAGGAGCACGAATAATTATTTATACCGATCATGCTGTAATTCAGTACCTCTTAAGCAAGAAAGACGCCAAACCAAGATTACTAAGGTGGATCTTACTTCTACAAGAGTTTGATTTAGAAATCAAAGACAAGAGAGGCACTGAGAATGTAGTAGTTGGCCACCTATCCAGAATAGAAGGAATCAAATCTGATCGTGTGCCTATCAATGATGATTTTCCTTATTAACTCCTCGTAGCCCAATTAGAAATGGAAAGTATTACAACTGAATACCCTGTGACTTATGAAAACACAAACACAAATGAAGCCGTGGAAGTCATCTACACTAAAACCATATTTCCATGGTATGCAGATTTTGTCAACTACTTAGCTGCCAGAGTGCTTCCACCTGATATATCTTATCAACAAAAGAATAAATTCTTTCATGATCTTAAAAAATATTATTGGAATGAGCCATTGCTTTTCAAGAGAGGTGCCGATGGTATTTTATGTCGATGTGTTCCCGAAAATGAAATTGAAAACATAATTTTCCACTGTCTTGCTGCTCCCTATGGAGGACATGCAAGCACTTCAAAGACCTGTGCTAAAATATTACAAGCTTTCCTCTATTGGCCTAATCTGTGGAAAGAAGTCCATATCGCGGTTAGAACTTACGACCAATGCCAACGCATTGGAAATATCTCTAGACGCGATGATATGCCTCAAAAGGGAATTCTAGAAGTTGAAGTCTTTGATGTATGGGGAATTGATTTCGTGGGACCTTTCCCATCTTCCTTTGGAAATCACTACATACTAGTTGTTGTCGACTATGTTTCAAAATGGATCGAGGTTGTAGCATCTCCAACAAATGATGCACGAGTAGTAGTCAGGCTTTTCAAGAACATAATCTTCCCAAGATTCGGTGTGTCGAGACTCGCCATGAGTGACGGTGGCTCCCATTTCATTTCTAAGATCTTAGAAAAATTATTAATGAAGTATGGAGTCCGACATCGTG